AATATAGAATAAAAATTAGATAAGTAAAAAAAGAAAAAAGAAAAAAGAAAAGGTAAAACAATAAAATAAAGAGAAAAATAAAGATAAAATAAGAATTAGATAAATAAAAACAAAATAAAAAGTAAAAACAAGAAAAGGTGAAATAAAAAATAAAGATAAAATAAAAAATAATGATAAAATAAAAAATAAAGATAAATAAAAATGAGATAAATAAAAATAAAAGGATAAAATAAAGATAGAAAGATAAAATAAAAATAAAGAGAAGATAACAATAATACAATCTCATTTCCATGTCTTTGGATTGAACTAGGTGCAGAAAACCAGGTGCGTCTCCTCCTCTTACATAACGGATGTGGTCGTGTCCTTTTGGGAATAGCTCCGGACACACCATGAGGAGCAAACCTCAATTTTGCCCAGCTCAAGTTCCTAGTCCTCATCACTGCTCAGAAAAAAAACATCTCAGGGCACAGGGGTAATCTCAAGCTACTGCCAGAAGAGGAAGCCTGGGGCGAGCCATCTTAATCGGTCCCTTACGTCGGTGTTCATTCCCGCAAATTCAAAGGCCTGCAGAGAAAGACGAAGCACGTCCGGAGCGGGTCGAGGGAGGAATCGCGAGTTCCCAAACTTGCTGTCCAGGAGGCACCTGTCGCCAAAAAAATAAATCAAAGCAAGGGGAGAAAAGTCCATCAGTCATTCAATTTCCTTCGCGGAAATCCGTGAAGCGTCTCAGGTTGCTGTACACCAGAAAAAAATCAGGGGGGGGGGGGAACCTTAGCGTAACCAATTGTATTTTTTTGTCTCTGCAGGATGAGGGATCACTCGCGTACATCCTCAACCCTCAGCTATTTAGTACTTAAGTCCCACTTTACTCCATAGCAGGGGAGGGTTCCTGCCTGTTCTAACCTCTTCCGTAGAAGAGGTTCCACAAATCTACTGTGCCGTTTAGAACCGGTTCCGGCTCCCTCCCCACACCCGTCCCCACACCGCTTGCCTAGTGTGTTAAAACTTTATCCCAGTGTGTTAAAAGAAGTTGTGGGAGCTTCATCCCTGGAGGCTTTCAAGAAGAGACTGGACTGCCATTCGTCAGAAATGGTGTAGGATCTCCTGCTTGGGCAGGGAGGGGGGGGGGCTGGGCTAGATGACCTCCAAGGTCCCTTCCACCTCTGTTTTTCTGTTACTATTCTGTTATTCAGAAGTTGATGGAGTTTCATCCCTGGAGGCTTTCAAGAAGAGACTGGACTGCCATCCGTCATAAATGGTGTAGGGTCTCCTGCTTAGGTGGGGGGTTGGGCTAGATGACCTCCAAGGTCTCTTCCACCTCTGTTATTCTGTTACTATTCTGTTATTCAGAAGTTGTGGGAATTTCATCCCTGGAGGCTTTCAAGAAGAAACTGGACTCCCATCCGTCATAAATGGTGTAGGGTCTCCTGCTTGGGTGGGGGGTTGGGCTAGATGACCTCCAAGGTCCCTTCCACCTCTGTTATTCTGTTATTATTCTGTTATTCAGAAGTTGTGGGAGCTTCATCCCTGGAGGCTTTCAAGAAGAAACTGGACTCCCATCCGTCATAAATGGTGTAGGGTCTCCTGCTTGGGTGGGGGGGGGTTGGGCTAGATGACCTCCAAGGTCCCTTTCCAACTCTGTTAATCGGTTAAAATTTGAGACAGCCTGAAATTGAAACTCAACCAAGGGCTCCCTCGACAAACCAGGATTAAGCAAACGAATCTGGAGCATTGGCATGCCTCGGTTTTTTTATTGCTGCCAACCAAAGAAGAAGAAGCTTCTGGAAGGAACTCACCCATGGTTTGCAACAACGGTGTAATTTCTGAAGGATCTGCCCAGCTCGGCCGCATCGACGGCGATGCATTCGTCGACAAAGAGCCGCAGTGGTGGATGGAAGAATTGTTGGACTGCAAATTCGATATGGATTTGTGATCCCAAGAGAAAGACCGAGAGATCAGAAGGGCCACTGAAGTCCTCTGTAGTGGGAGAAAAGCCAAGAGAATTAGTAACGGTAAACTTTCCCCTCGTTCCTGACTCTAGGGGGCGGTGCTCATCTCCATTTGAAAGCCGAAAAGCCAGCGCTGTCCGAAAACATTTCCGTGGTCGTGTGGCCGGCGTGACTCAACGCCGAAGGCGCACGGAACGCTGTTCCCTTCCCACCAAAGATGATTCCTATTTTTCTACTTGCATTTTTTACGTGCTTTCGAACTGCTAGGTTGGCAGAAGCTGGGACAAGTCACGGGAGCTCACCCTGTTATGTTGCGCTAGGGATTTGAACCGCCGAACTGACCAACAAGCTCAGCAACAGGTTTTAATTTACTGATTGAACCCATTTATGTAGCTGCCCAATTTATACATAGGTGACTCCGAGGGGTTGCAAAATTTAGAAAGGCCACCATAAGCAGGAAGTCCAAAGTTTATTTAATGAAACATACCGTTACTTTTTAAATCGTCTTAATTTTTTAAAAAAATAATTGTTAAGCTCCATCACTGGAAGTTTTTAACACGAGATTGGACAGCCGTTTTACCCGAAATGGTCTTGGGTCTCCTGCTTGAACAGGGGGTTGGACTAGAAGACCTCCAAGGTCCCTTCCAACTCTGTTATTCTGTTAGTAATGATTATATTTTAATGATTGTTTTTAATTATCATTGTTGTAAAGTCGTTTTATTTGTGATACGCTGCCCAGAGTCACTTCTGGGGTTCAATGAATCAGTAATTAAATACATTTCTGCTTACCATTCATAAATGTCCCTTGGAACATCAGTCCACTGGAAACAGAAAGAAGGCCAGATCCTGTGACTTGGGCAGGAGTCGGGCGTTGTGTCCTAGAAGACGGGGGGGGGGGAGAGATTTGTCCATCAGAGCATGAACTGATCACGGGGTGCCTGGACACATCAGCCTTTCAAAGTTGACCAGCTCAGCAAACAGGCAGCCCCAAAAATGCTGGAACTCGGGGTATTCTAGAGGGTATTCTAACACACGGCAACTCTAACTCTCAGAATTTTAGTGTTAATTTTCAGTGAACCTTGCCAATTGTGACTTATTGAAAAAAGAAATCAATTCCAACATTTTGCATTTTACCGTTTCTTTTTGTTAGAAATTCTGTTTCTATATAGCAGCACAGAGCAAACAAAAAGCACAATCACCATGTGCTTTACTGCTCAACTGTTTTTAGCTGTAACTGTAACAGGAAACTTTTCTTAGAACAAAAGGGTATGTATATCCCCCCATAGATCCAAACTTGTAAACACTGACATATACTGGCTGAAGGCTACTGTCGTTGTTGCATAAAAATTACATATCAACAATAAATCCCAACACTTTTATTGATCCACAACTTCCTGAAATTAAGATTTGCAAAGGGGAAAAGATACGATTGGACAGCAGCAGCAACTCGGTTTTAAAAAAAGAACATAGGGAATAATTTCTTCCAGATCAGCTCTTCTGCCCAGTATCCCATCCATTACTCCTTGAGTACAATTCTTCAAACTCAGCACTTACTCATAGGTTGTACAATTAATCCTCTCAGTGAAGGGGCTGTCACGGCTGGATACTGGCCTGTACACCAGGTAGGTTGTGTGCTCAATCATAAGGCCGGATGTCTGCAAGAACCAGAATTTTACGTGAATGCCAGGATATTTGCTGAACCAGTGATTCTAAACCTTGGTAACTTTCAGGTGGGTGGACTTCAATTCCCAGGATTCCCCAGCCAGCACGGTCTCAACTTCCCCCTTGCGCCAAAATAGTCTTTTCTCTTCAGCGGTGTTGGAAACTAACTGCAAACTCTTGAGTTTGGTCCCCGTGATTGGCAATCCCCAGAGTCCCTTCCGAGATAATGTGGGACAAATGACATTTGATCTACCTCGAAAAACGTCAGGCTATAAAAGGAGGGAAACTCATCTTTAATCTGGTAGAGCTAAGGGCATCTTACACCTCACCCTGGGAATCAAAAGAAAGTCAAGCTATAAAAGAAAATCAACTAGGGCATACAAAACCTTTGCCAGACCAATCCTCGGATACAGCTCGTCTGCCTGAAATCCACACTGCATATCGGACATTAATACAATCGAGCAGGTTCCGAGGTATTTCACGAGAAGAGTCCTCCACTCCTCTGCTCTGGGAGTTGAAGTCCACAAGTCTTAAAGTTGCCAGAATTGGAGACCTGGCTGAGGAACTCTGGGAGTTGAAGTCCACATGTTTTAAAGTTGCCAAGATTGGAGACCCCTGATTTAGAACAGTGTTGCTCAAAGTGTGAAGGTTAGCTTTGTCTCCCAGGTGGACTTCATCTCCCAGAATTCCTCAGCCCGCTCTCCACCTTGGCAACCTTAAGCTTTGCTGGCTGAGGAACTCTGGGAGTTGAAGTCCACAAGTCTTAAAGTTGCCAGAATTGGAGACCTGGCTGAGGAACTCTGGGAGTTGAAGTCCACATGCCTTAAAGTTGCCAAGGTTGGAGACCCCTGATTTAGAACGGTGTTTCTCAAAGTGTGAAGGTTAGCTTTGTCTCCCAGGTGGACTTCATCTCCCAGAATTCCCCAGCCAGCTATGAACTCTGGGAAATGAAGTCCACCTATCTTTAAGTGCCCGAGCTTGGAAACTCTGAGAGCAATTCACCAACAAGGATTGCAAACATAAATCCACCTCGAGAACCTAGGATGGGGTAAAGCAGTGGTCTCCAACCTTGGCAATTTTAAGACCTGTGGACTTCAACTCCCAGAGTTCCTCAGCCAGGGGATTATACTCCAAGCATCTAAATCAGTGGTCTCCAACCTTGGCAATTTTAAGANAACTCTGAGAGCTGAAGTCCACCCATCTTAAGAGCTGCTAATATTGAGAGAAACACAGCTCTTACACCATTGTTGTCGGTCTGCATGTTTTTAGTTTTCCATGTGTGCAAACTCAACCACCCAATGTGCCATGTTAAACCATGATTCAGCATGGCATGTGCAAAACCAGAGAGATAAAACTTTGTCTGTTTGTTTGTCATCAGAGAATACCTACCCTGGGGTCAATCACCAAATAAGTCTTGATATTCATGGATTCAAGATAGGGATCCCGGAGGTGCCCGTTGCCTTCTTCCACCTCATAAGCTTTGCCCAGATGATTCAGTGTTGCTTCCGTGATGTGCACGCGGCTGCAAAGAGGATTGGGGGGGGGGGGAGAGAAAGAAAGAGAGAGACTAGGGTACAAAGGGCTGAAATGTTTGCAGAAACGTCATTCCCAGGAATCGATTACCATTACAATGGCAGCGGCTGCCAAAAGCTCTCTGCTGCTACACATTTGGCAGCCAAAAATCAAGATTCCTGGCAGGATTGCTCTTGAACAGCTCAGCTGGATAGAACATCCAGCAGTGCCAATTCTCAGAACTTTGCGCAGTGTTTTTGAGCGAGATACAGACAGACAGACAGACAGACACACGGAGGGAGGGAGGGAGAAGGAGGGAAGAAGGGAGGGAGATAGAGAAGGAGGGTGATAAGGATGGAGGGAGGGAAAGAGAGAAGGACGGAGGGTGAGAGGGAGGGAGAGGACGGAGGGCAAAAGGGAAGGAGAGGGAGACAGAGGAAGGGAGAGAGAGGGAGGGAGGAAGAGAGAGGACAGAGGGAAGAAGGGAGGGAGGGAGAGACAGAGGGAGGGTGGGAGGGAGAGATGGATGAACAGGCTCCAGCTGTTCGTCTGCCTCACTGATGTCTGACTCTGAAGGCAGCTGATAACTGGCACACGGCCCTGCCAGCCCCCCCTCTGCCTTCCCCAGACTCCAGGACTGGCCCATGTTCCTCTCCAATCTCCTCAGTGTCCGAATCTGCTGCCAGCTCCGCTGGTGGGCCACAACACACACATTGAACATCCTCAAGGATCTCACTGCTGTTCCTTGCCGTGACCTGACAAAAGCGTGAACGTCATAAGCGCGCCGACAACACCACAGCGCTAAAACCGCAATGTCAAAAGCACGCCGACAACAGCGCGCCGACAACAGCGCGCCGACAACAGCGCGCCGACAACAGCGCGATTTAATTTAAGGTAAGATTTAAATTTAGGTTTAGATTTAGGGTTAGGTTTAGGATTAGGTTTAGGGTTAGGTTTAGGTTTAGGGTTAGGGTTAGGGTTAGGGTTAG